AATAAATACATAATGCATATCCCCGCATATATTATATGACAGATATAAAGGCCACAACTGGACTTTCTTGCTTTCTTTCCTTTAAAACTTTTGCTTCTCATCCCAGAAGCTTCTTCATTTCGCTGAACTTCACTTCCTTCTTTGGTTCAACCCTCAAGAATCTTCTGGGATGAGAAGCGAAAGGCTTTCAAGGGATTAAAACAAAAACAAAAAAACCTCCAGAAAGTCAAGTTGCCTTTTGGAAAAATGACATTTCTGGAATAACCCTGACGTGGAGGACTGAGGCTCTCCACTAAACACCGCTAGGGTTATAAGTCGAGGTACTTGTAATTCATAAAGGATTCACTTTATGGGCACATCGTTGGCATCACTGTCTGTCACCTCACCCTGGATCATCGTACCCCACCCGGTCTGGGAACGTGACTGTGTTCCCAGAGAAGAGGGCAAGCAAGTAAGCCTGTTTTAGAAAGTCTCAAATAGGGGAAGATGAAAGGGAGAGAAGCAACGTGGCCGTCCTCTGCCCCCCATCCCAAGGCACCTGGGGGGAAACGTCCGAAAGGGGATTAGCTTTCTCCTTACATGAAGTTCTTTGCTCTCTCAGCAACTCCTTGACCTGCTCCTCCCAGCCCAGGTCCAGGTGGGCTCTAAACCAGCCTTGCCCAGTCTCCGAAATCTCCACCTTGGAGCCTCTTCGGCCATCCTTGCCTCTGGCCCCTGCCACCCTCCGGGGCCATCAACTCCCGCTTGCTCTGCCCTGAGGACACGCCCAAATGTCCCTGCTCCCAAGATGAACCTGCGTTCGGGGTCTCCATCCCAGGGATCGGTTGCCCCCACCCCAAATCGAATGGGGAGGGTGGCTTAGCGCAGTGGTCCTCAACCTTTATGGTTTCAGGAGAAACCTCCTGTGTCTGCTCACAGGAGTCAAGCTACATGCGCCTGCATCGGCCGGCCACTCGCGCAAGTCGAGCTGCGTGCATGCCAACCAGCCACTCATGTGGCCCAGTTCCAAACAAACCACAGCCTGGTAGTGCGCCACAGCCTGAGGATTGGGAACCCCTGGCTTAGCAGGCTGGGACAAAGCCATCTGAATGCATTTATGGTTTCATTTTGGCTGTAATTATCGTGAGAGTCACTCGACTCTCTATTTATTTAATAAATAATGTCAAACTAGCTCGATACCCATGCTTTGCTACAAAACTATGTGGTCAGGCTTAGTTTTTTGGGAGGAAAATAAGGGGGGGGGATTCTGCCTCTGCCTACCAGCATCCATTAGTATTCATCTGGCTTAGCGTCCTGTCAGTGTGTGTGAGTGTTGAGGGCTGTTTGGAAACTGAAACAGTATTGGCTGTGTGAGCAAGGAGACAGCAAGGAGCCTGGGCGTGGCTTAGCTCAACTATTCTGGACTAAAGCTGCTTGGTGCTGTGAAACTAAAACTGAAACTCCTCTCCTCTGCTTGTGTTTTGCATTTGGAAGAGATTTCTTTTCCAGTGGGGAGGGGAAGTAGAACTCCTTAGCATCAGAGCGTGTTAATTGCTGTAGAAGAAATACTAATGAAATATTATATGCTCCGATGGTCATTTCGAAAAATCATTTTTTAGTGAGCCCCTAGAAGCCAAGAGGAACATATGTACCAAATTACAAGTTTGTAGGCTTGACAGTTCTGGGGATTTTGTGATGATGCATGGGTGCTCTTTCACTTATATTTAAAGATTTAATAGATTAGGATACAGCTGCGTGACTCATCCTGGGCCCAACAGATCAGGGTTTATATTTTACAAGGAAGCTTCACAAGATGTCAGAGGAGAGAAAACGACAGGCAAAGGAACACTTGTGGGGTCTGAGTGGGGAAACCCCATACTCACGTTGGCTCAACCAGTGGAAAATATTCAGGGACCACTGGACCCAAATCTAGGCTCTCTTCTCCACAGGTAGCCATAGCAGCCGAAGACAAGGGACTCCCCCTCAACCACAGCATCTGAGCAGCAAAACCACATCAAAAATAGCTCAGCCCAAGGCAAGGGGCCGCGGGGTAGCAAGGAGTGGCAGAAATTCACCCTTAAGTCAGAAAGCGAATGTGGCCAACTCCTGACGACGGATGTGAACTCCAAGAGGCTTCAGTTTCTTCCATGAAATTTAAAGGATTGAATGAAGACAATGGGGGAGGGGGGGATCCGGAGCGGGAGGGGAGAATCTTCAGCTAGAGTAGAGGAAGACTACCGAAGCCTCTCTCTGCCTCTCCCCCCACGTGAATGCGGTCAGTCTGGCAAGATTCTTGTCAAAAGGCAAGCAGCAATCAACAAGCAGCTTGGACTGTCTCATGGCATCGTTCCGGGTTTTTTTTTTGCACCCAACTTAAACCCGGATAACAAGATTGCCTTTTACTAGCTTGTTCTTGGGAACGCAGACCCACTCCTTCCTCCGTCCTCACCTGGTCTCGGGGGGGGGGGGGGGGGGGGGAAGGTAAATACACTCTGGGCATAATGTGAAAGTAAGTCCACCCTCTTTGCTTTGGACTGCCCATCAACACTAAAGCTTCCAAGGTAACTGAATCATCACCATCTGTTGTGCCTCTTGAGGGTTAGGGGCATCGTTCCCCAACCTTGACGGCCCAGTGGGGAATAGTTCCTTGTGAGTTAAAGGTGTGGGCACGCAGTTACATTTGAGCCAGTGGTCAGCACTCGCAACTGCTGCTCAAGCAAAGGGAGCCTCCGGCGCTTGCACTTGGGCAAGGGGGAGCTTGGCAGGCGAGATCAAGCGGTGGCTGCCGCTCGCTTGAAAGAGCTTCGTACGCGTGCATGCGCTTGCCTGCCGCCTGTGCGGCCCAGTTCTAAACAGACCGTATCCCAGCAGTGGGCCGTGACCCGAGGGTTGGGAGACCCCTTGGTTAGGGAGATGGCCACACCTCTGGACACGAGTTCTAAACATCGCGATGGGCATCCCAGGAGCGACCGCCGGGAAAAGAGCACCCAGAAAGTTTTAGCCTGTGCAGGGACGCCTCGACTTATGAGTCCAATTGGGACCAGAATTTCAGCTGCTAAGCAAAATGGTTTTAAGACCTTTTGGGCCGTAGTTGTCAAACAAATCACTGCAGTTGTTAAGCAGGCCATGCGGTTATTAAGCAAATCTGACTTCCCCCATTTCCTGTTCAGAAGCCAGCTGGCAAGGTCGCAAATAGGCAATTCTGAGACAAACCCCTCCCCCCACCCCACGGGATGCTACAACCGTCGCAAATACATGCTTGAATATTGATCACACGACCGAGAGGATGCTGTGATGGTTGTAAATGAAAGGACTTTCGTAAGTCACTTTTTTTTTCTTTGAGCGGTCACTAAATGGATGGTTGTTAAGTCAAGGACTCCCTATATCCAGAGGAAACTAGCGCAACCCGAGCTTGCTCCCACGAATTCACATGAAAGAGGAAAAAGCCGGCAACGGACCACAGAGACAGACAGACACACCAAGGACGGGGACGCAACCAGGCCAAAGGATTCTCGCCTCCCGAGTCTTTGGTCTAGATAGAAGATGGTCAGGAGATGGGGGGGTCAGGATGGGGGGGGGGAGAGCTCCTTGAGGGGTGGGAAATGGCCTACAAAGCAGCAGAAAGAACGACTGCCCTCTGCCTTAAGCCCCAGAGACCACTCTCCACAGCAGACGGACAGACGGGCGGATGGACAACCTGGAAGGAAGAAGTTCAACGGTGACAACCTAAGAGGAAAATCTGCCGGCTGGAAAGAGGAAAACTGCAGCTAGCCTCAAAGCATCAATAATCAGACCCCCAGGCCACCCCCAGATTGGGGGTGTGTGAGGAGATGCAGCCCCGCCCTATGCCCAGCAGCTGAGTGGAATACAGGTAGTCCTCGACGTACGACCACAATGGAGCCTAAGGGCAGGGTGGGGTTTACATCCCATTTTATGACTGTTCTTGCCACCATTGTTCAGTGAATCCCTGCAGGAGTCCAGGTGGCAATGAAGGTTCCCCTCACACATACGTGCTAGTCGTTTCCAGCTCTAGGGGGCGCTGCTCATCGCCGTTACAAAGCCGAAGAGCCAGCGCTGTCCGAAGACGTCTCCGTGGTCATGTGGCCGGCAGGACTAAACGCTGAAGGCGCACGGACGCTGTTCCCTTCCCACCAAAGGGGTCCCTATTTTTCTGCTTGCATTTTGACATGCTTTCAAACTGCTCGTTGGTAGAAGCTGGGACAAGGTAATGGGAGCTCACTCCATTACGCGGCTAGGGATTCAAACCGCATCCCTTTTAGCACCAAAAAGCACTTAGCAATAGCACTTAGACTGATATATCGCTTCACGGTGCTTTTACAGCCCTCTCTAAGTGGTTTACAGAGCCAGCCTCTTGTCCCCAACAATCTGAGTCCTCATTTTACCCACCTCAGAAGGAGGGAAGGCTGAGTCAACCTTGAGCCTAGTGAGATCCGAACTGCCAAACTCCTGGCAGACGGTGATCAGCAGAAGTAGCCTGGAGTACTGTGTTCAAACCCCTGTGGCACTGTAGGCAGGAACATGATTCTTAAGTGACTCTGGCATCTGGCTGGTCAGAAGATCGCAAAAGAGGGACCACATGATCCCCAGCCAGGACGCTACAACCCGTCATAAATAGGAACCCTTGGCCAAGCATCTGAATTGCAATCCCATCGCCCCAGGGAGGCTGCGACCGTCGTTGAATGTGGAAAAACTAGTTGCAAGTCACGTGTTTCAAGGCTGTCAAAACTTCGGTCACAAAAACGAATGGTCGTAAGTCGAGGACTGCCTGCATTCAGGAGCGTGCCCGCCCGCCTAAAGGGAGGTTTTTTTCAGAGTTCGAATGACAGCCAACGGGTCTCAGTTTTAGCCTGGGAACCCTCTAGTGGTTCGAGCCCGGCGACGGGGTGGGGGTGAAATATAGGGGCACAAAATGAAAGGCAGGCAGGATTTGAGCTGTCCTCGGTGTTCTTGCATCCCTGGACATGAAAAACAATCGTGGTTCCGTCCAGCGAGAAACTCACCCATGGTTGGCGGGACGTGAAGCTCGCCTTTGTCCGAGATGTCTGGGGCCTCCATGGTCCTCTCCAGATCTCGCTTCCCTTGAGACCTGAAGGACGTCTGGGCAACTTCGTCATCTGTTCGACCAAAGAGAAGGCGACACTCGTCATTTGGTTTGGGATCATCCACCTCATCCTGCCGAGCACCCGCATCCTTGCGCGCATCCCAAGAATAAAGCAAGGCTCTTCGCGGCAGCCTCCCTTAGCAGGAATCGGATTTTCTAACTACCAAACAACCACAACTGAACGACCGCAAGTGAACTCATTTTCCCTTGCTAAGCGAGACAGTTTTTCAGGTAGTTCGCCCCCCCCCCCCCCCCGCCGCTTTTACGACCTTCCATGCCACACTTGTTAAGTGAATCACTGTAGTCATTGCGGTCAGCTGCTCGCTTAAGGAGGGTCTCCCTCCCTGTGCGCACCCTCCCGGCCCTGCCACAGCTGGCCAGGGGGTTATGAACGGAGAAGGAGGGGGAGTAGATGGAGTGTCGCCCAAAGAAGAAATAAAAGGAATAGCCAAGAGCCCCAAGAGAGCTGGCTTGGCCCAGCCGCGGAGAGAGACACACGGAGAGAGAAACAGAGAGAGAGGGGAGAGAGAGAGGGAAAGATATAAACACACACAGAGTGATATACAGAAAGAGGGGGAGGGGGGAAGATGGGGAGAGGGGGAGAGAGAGTCATACAGAGAGAAGGGGAGACAGGTAAAGACGGGGGAGAGAGGGGCAGAGAGATACGAGACACAGAGATACAAAGAGATACAGAAAGAGGGGAAGATAGAGAGGTGGGAAGAGAGGGGGAGAGAGAAAGGGAGAAAAAGGGAGAGAGAGACAGCAAGGGAAAGAAAGGGGGAAGATAGGAAGAGGAGTAGAGAGAAGGGGAGAGAGAGAGAAGAGC